TGGTAAGGAATGGACGTGGCGTCTTGGTTTTTGTGTCGCACCAGATAGCCAAGCCTGCACCAGGGATTTCGACCTTCTTGAGCTGCAGGCTTTTTCCTTCGACGATAAACGAAAACAGCTCATGGTCTTCTTGTTGAGATTTGACCAATGCTTCGTAATCAATTGTCGAGTGTATTGCCTCCACTCGTGACAACGTATCGGCGGTTACATTGTCTTTGCCTAATACATGGCGTATATCGGTGGTGAATTGACCGATATAGTCAAGATGCCGGAACTGTCTTGGCGTGCACTTCTCTGGTCTCTGGCGGAAGGCAAAGATGAGCGGCTTATGATCGGTGTAGATCACGAACTGGCGAGCTTCCACCATATGTTTAAAATATCTGATGGCTAGGTAGATTGCCAGCAGTTCCCGGTCAAAGGTGCTATAATTGACTTCGGTGGGATTTAGCTTCTTGAAGTAGAAAGCCAGTGGTTCCCAGTCTTCGCCATGTCGCTGTTGGAGAACTGCCCCGACGCAGCGGTCTGATGCGTCCGTGAAGAGGGCTAGCTCGGTGTGCGCCTTGGGATGTACCAGTACCGCAGTTTGGGCGAAACTGTTTTTCGTGTCTTCAAAAGCTTGTTTTGTTTCTGTTGTCCACTCCAGAATTGTAGCCTTTCTTTGAACCGAGAAGATCGTGGAGTAGTGTTTGTGCTGCTGCAGCCCTGGGTATAAATCTTCGATAGAAGTTTAGCATACCCAGGTAACGTCTGAGCTCTTTGGCTGTTTTCGGCAAATTGTATTCACGTAGCCCTTTGATTCGGTCAGATAGTGGTTGTGTACCCTCCGAATTTACTAGGTAACCGAGGAAGGTTACTTGGGAGCGTCCAAAAACGCTTTTTGCGGGATTGATTACAACGCCGTACGTTCAGGCGTTCGAAAAGAATGCGGAGGTGCTCCAGGTGCTCTTCCTCCGTTTTCGATGCGATTAGAATGTCGTCGAGGTATGCGTAGCAAAAGCTTAGTCCACGCAATACCTCGTCAATAAACCGTTGGAAGCTTTATGCTGTGTTGCGTAACCCGAACGACATGTAGGGAAACTCGAACATGCCGAAGGGTGTTGTGATCGCTGTTTTTTCGATGTCTTCCTCGGCGACGGGTATCTGGTGATATGCCCGTACCAAATCGAGAGTGGTGTAAATTCGGGTGCCCTCCAGTGCTTGTGCGAAGTCGTGTATATGGCGCACGGAGTATCGATCCGGTATCGAGCGTACGTTTACTGCTCGATAGTCCCCGCATGGTCTCCAATTCTCCCCTTTCTTTGGAACAAGATGAAGAGGTGATGCCCAACAACTCTTTGAAGGCCTAGCAATGCCGAGTTCAATCATGTTTTGGAACTCTTGTTTGGCGATGGCCAATTTATCAGGTGCTAGCCTGCGTGGTTTGCAAGCCACTGGAGGTCCTGGCGTAGTCTTTATAAAATGGCGAGTGCTATGTTTAGTCTGCCGAAGTCGTCCGTCTGGCCTTGTGATGTCAGGGAATTCGCTGAGTAACGCGTGATATGGTGTAGTTCCTTTGATCGTTTTGACGCAGACCTCGTATGGGTTGATTTTGCGTCCTGGCACAGTCAGGTTAGTTACTTGGTCCACCAGTTCGACGGTTTTTTAAATCGACTAGCAGGTCGAAGTGTGCCAGGAAATCGGCTCCGATGATGGGCTTTGCTACGTCGGCGATGACGAAGTCCCATGTGAAGCAACGTCGGAGGCCGAGATTTAATGTAAGAGCTTTGGAACCGTAAGTATGAATTGCGGTCCCA